CAACTCAGCCAGGGGGCTTTTGTTTTAAACGCACACACACACACACACACACACACACACACACACACACACACACAATACTGTTTGCTTTGAGCAAACAATAAGCTGATAATGGGGGCCAAAAAGCAGATGTTCAGCACACCGTTACTGGCAGAATTTCATGAGATTTCTCAACCTTTGTTTTGTTGTTAGTATCAAAATGACAAACACTCACTGTGTCAAAGGTCTTGCCGTCATGTGACCTCCTGACTTCTGAAATCTGAGGCTGCATGCCCCCAGGCAGCGAGACTAAGCTGAGATAAGAAAGAGCTGTATGTAAACGCGCTTATGTGGAATTGCAGGGAGCACAATGAGCCGGCTGTTAGGCTAGCAGTAAACTCCAAACAAAACTGAGTTTGACTTGTTCTCAGCCTGATGTGAGCAAACACCAGCTGACTGCAGTGCTATAGGTATTCAGTTAAAGACGCCCAAAGCAGGTGACATCTTTCCATATGTTACTCAAAAATAATAATAATTGGCCTATATTTTTATAAAGGTCAATGGAAAGTAACAGGAAAAATATGGTCTGCAACAATTTATTCATCTGTTAAATGCAACTAAAGTGCCTGTCCACAATATGTGTTTTTGCTTAAATCCAATTTGGTGCTTCTTATTATTAAAAATTCAATAGTTGTCCTGTAAAAAATATTCTACATATACAATTTTTAACTGTATTAGCAACCTCACTTGAGATTTTGTTTAATAATAGATTTACTGATACAATCCAGTTGACAAATGTGGATGGCAATTTAGGCTAGGCTGTACAAAGTACTTAATTTTAGTTTGACTGAATACCCCTCTCTGGAATAACAGTGCTTGGGACAGTTTGGAAAGGTTTTTACAAAAGGCTCTTTATATTTCTGGATGCTTTTTAAAGTTTCAGGGTTATGTCAGAGATGGATGATGACTTATTTCCTTAATAGTGCTGTGAGTGGAATTTCTCCCGTTACACCCCAGGTTTACATGAGCCTGAAGTGGCAAAAAACAAAATGTAATCCCAGCCCTGCCTTGTTTGATGCCAGAGGCTACAGGGACAATACAGACCACTACGGCTCATCAGTTTTATCATATTTGTGTTATGATTAAACTTTTCATTAAAAAAAAAAAAGTTACAAACATGTTTGTGTATGCTGTCAATTACAGTTCTTAGAAGGAAAGAAAAATGGAGTCAGCAGGTCGGACTTAAAAAAAAAAACAAAAAAAAAAAACATAATTGGCCAAAAAATATTGTAACTGATGCAAAGCCAAGCTGCAAAAGTTCCCTAAGAAATGCATATCTGATATGTTACTCAGCTTAGGACCTATCGGCAGATCTCCATTAAGCTGGATACCTTTGCTGTGATACACCTGTGAACTACAGAGATCAGAACTTGTGAAATTTTTAGGTTTTAGGATATGTGATATGAGCAGCCATGTTTCTAGCTGGAGGGTTGAGATTCAGCTGTGCGCTGCCTGATGTCTGAATGTTTTTGTATAACCGGAGACTAAAATGTTTACCGTAGGCGCACAACAGTTCTTATCAAAGGAGTTAGTAATTGCCACTGTTCTCAGTGACCAAGTACCTTGTGCCTAATGCCTACGGTTTCATATGACTGAATTTTGTGATGAGTGTTGGCAGCAGGTGAATATTGTTGTGCCTGTTGGCACTGCAGAACCAGGGTGTGGGTTGTGGGCTGGCCATTTCAAGGGTAAAATGTGACTTTCCCCTCTGTTCACAGTGGGAATGTGACATTGACAAGTGTTTGCACTGCGGCCTCCTTCTTACCAGCGCGCATGGGAGCACACGCCAGGGTACACTTAAGTGCCAACTGGTGGCTGGCCCCGTGTGTGTGTCTGTGTGTGCTCTTATGGAGCTCTGGCCAAAAGGTTTGTTTGGGCATGTGTTGGCAGGGCTGTTCACTCATCCATTCCCAGCCCTGGAGCCAGCATTATACAGTTCCCACGCATGTTACTGCCATCACCACAAACCTTACACTCACACACTAACACACGTTTGTACAGCTATCTTTGTGAGGACACTCACTGATATAATGTAGTCCCTATCCCTTACCCTAACACTTAACCATTACTGCTACATGCCTGACCTTAACCTAATTCTACCCTTAACTCTAAAATCAAACCTTCAAACAATGCTTTGAAGGCATGTGACAAAGGGACGACTGGCTCAAAATGTCTTCCCTCCCAAAACTGAAACCTGTCCCCCAGTGTCTAGCCATACAAGTACAAACAGACACACACACACACAGCCCATGCATAAATACGCACAATCTATAATGCTCACGCTAACCACCGGTGCTGTGTACCCATAGAGGCCTGTTGACACTAAAATACAGCTTTGCAGATTACCCACCCTGAGTCAAGCTGTTTGCTAGCCGGTAAAATATTAGCTTTAGATTGGTGGCTGTCATGAACTTAGAGGACGAACAGTGTCGCGTGGGTGTGTGAAGGAGAGTCACAGTAATCCTAAGGATATAAAGTAATGAGTACAGAAGCACGTACATTTGTATTTGCACATGTCTGTGTTTGTTGACATGTCATTAAATGGTCCCAGAATATAGATAGATATTACAGCTCCATCCCTGTGCTTCAGTTCAGTCTTTGTTTTTGTGGGCCATTGTATGACTACATCCCTATGTTTTTTGTTTTTTAGTTAGCCTGCAGATCAGCAAGTTGACACTTAAACGTTAGCCTATTTTTAAGATAGACAGCCGGTCTGCTGGCGAGTCATTCGGTGAGCCAACTGGCCAGTCATGCAGACTCCCTGTGGAATGGGTAACCCTAGATGAGGGTAATCCCAGAGGAGAGTGCAGGCAAGCCAGGATGGAGTGCATAGAGAGGTTAGCCAACATCCCAGTGCAGCCCAGCGCAGCTGCCTGCTGACAGAGCAAATGTGCAGTTACAACAGTCAAACTTGCTACAACTAACACTGTGCTAGTTTCAGCTGCTGCCCACTTGTGAGAGATACCTTTGGCATGAAAGTAAAGATGAAATGCACGACTTATCAATTTTATTTGCATATTGCATACATATTTTTGGCAGCAGGGTAGCATTTCTTTTTAGTTGCTAGAGAGTCTAGTGAGACTCAAACCCACACCAGAAACCACTCCTTGTATGTCTTTTCCCCTCCTGACCCTTTTTCTAGCTATGACGTCAAAGAAACACCCCATCCTGTCCCATTTTCACTTGATTTATTAGATGGTGTATAAAATCTTGGCTAATGCAACTTAAAATGTCCATCTAGATAAACATTTATTGTGTAAACATTTAACAGGTCATTACCAAACATGCTGTACAAATGAACACTTTGTGTAACCACTGTGTAGAAAGTCTTCTTGTGATACAGCTATCAGTTGTGTTGAGTTTTGATTCAAGATGCTATTCAGAATGTTAATTAATGAATTGTTTACAAGAATTTATCAAATACTCTGTAGCCGAGGAGTGGTATTCCACAAGATGTGTGAATACACACATCCTGTTTGTCAGTTCCACTAAAGTAAGTTGATACAAATTCAGAATCAGTCTGTGGATGTTTGAGGTTAGGGAAGGAAAATGTTCAATATACTTTTTAAACGGTTTTGCATTTCTACCTGCATTTTGAGTTTTTTTTTAATTTTATTTAAAGGAAAGTATATAAAATAACTTCTGTTTATTGAAACTGCTGAGTGTGTGTGTGTCCACACACGAGTTTCTCACATGACTGATAGCAACGGTGTAAGTGCTGTATCAGGTGATAATGGAGCTGGAGCACATTTATCAGTGTAGCAGTTTATGTAAACATACACGCAGAAGATTAGAGCCAACAGTAGCAACATTACACCACCCTTATCAAACTTTATGCAAATGTTAAAAAACTGCCTGTATTTTGTGATTTTTGAAGTGTGTCTGGAAACTATGACGAAATATATTTGTTGACAACCTATTTTTCAGGACAAAACAAGACAAACTAAATAAAAATTAACATTTCATCAGGAGAACTATGACGAAATGCTTTCTTTTTTTAATAAACAAATTAAAAGTAAACGATGTGAAAGACAGATGAATGGACTTAATGATCTACTGCATCTGTGGAATCACAAACTGTAGCTCCTGATCAATAAAGCAGGACAAAGTACCTCTTGTTCAGGGGGTTGAATTAACCACTTGATGTGTTTCACGAACTGCTGACAAGCTTACATTCAGTAACATTCTGTCTCTGTCATCTGCTGTTTCTTGGACAAACCAAATTCATCTACACTCCATAGAATTATGCAAAAAACAGCTGGGACACATTAGGAAAATGCAACAACTCGCCAAACAAAATATTAGGATAATTTAACATGAAATGCTGTAGATGCAGTTGTTGCAATAATGTTCCCTTTAGGGGAATATCTTTTGTGTTGCTATCACAATGAAGTCAGTTCCAGGATTAATATGGGCTGTCAACCATAAATCATCTCTAAATGTTCGCTGCAGAGATCTCACCGTTTTAATGTTGTCTGATAATTTAGCTTCACCTCTCAGGCTGAACCCAGTGAAGAGGATTTTAGCACAAATATGAGCGAGTCCAACTTCTGCAGAGCCGAGGGACACTGTGTAAATAAAACACCATTTTCCATAAGCCCCAGGATACACAAAAACATGTGTAACCATAGTAATAGTACACCACAAAGATGAGGAAGTTGTACAGCAAATATTAAAAATGCAGGATAACATTGACTAAACTGTATTCAGTTTTTACTGACTGAAGCTAGATGACAACTAATAAAAATCAAAAGGCAAACATTCGAAACTAATATGGATTTTTGTAAAAAGACTGAAACTAAATCATGTGTCAAAATTAACACTAGGGTGCATAAGCTTGTGATACCACCCACATCAATTTCTGACATAATTACTGGTGGGACTTATCGCACTGTTGTAGTAATACAATGCAACATTATACTGAACAGTTCCACTGTTGTTGATTCTTTTTCCTTGTTCAGAGACGAGGAGCCATCTCCTACGACAGCTCAGACCAGACGGCACTGTACATCCGTATGCTAGGTAAGTGTTTCCCCACTTTCACTGCATACACGCGAGCATATTCAGTGGCCCCACATGCACACTTCCCAGAGATCACTAGGTTTATCTCCTCCATGATCATGTCCATTTTCTTAATCCACAGTAGCTTTAAAAAGCAGTGAGATGGGAAATGAATGGATCAGAAGTGGAGAGAGAGACTATAAAGCGATGGGGATGCACTACAGTAGAGTGCACGTCTGGAGTCCGCTCAGTCCCTGGCCTTTTGATAACCTCCACTTACAACAGGCTTAGGTTCTGTGGTGCTGAGTATCTTTGAAGTTTGATCAGATTTGTTAAGAGTGCAGGATTTAATTTGAACTCTAAACGAACTAACCGTTCAGTGGCGGATAGTGTTTTTGTGTTTGTGTATATACTGCGTGTGTGTAAGTGTGTCTGTTTGCCCATCACTGCCCTGCGCAACCCTAACCAGGGTAAGCTGTTTTGGAGAATTGATAGGAAGATGGAGGCTCATAGCTCTGCTAGGCAGATGGGGTGAGACACATCTAGGAGGCATCCAGATCAGCCTTGGCTTCAATAAAGTTACTTGGGGTAATGGTGCGATTAGCGCCTGGGTGTAGCCCTGATATCAGTCTGCCACACACAGATGTGCCTTAGCATGTAACCTTTGCCACCCTAATTTGTACATCTGATGCTATTGGTTGGGAACGAACAGCAAGAAAGTAAGAGAGAGAGTAGAACTGCTGACAGACTGTCATTCTGTCAGTATCATTCTTAGATATCAGGTTACCATCCTGATGTATCGTAAATAGGCAGGGTACATTAAACAGTAGGAGCTTTCTGAATGTCTTTGTTGAAGCCCTCTTTACCGTACGGTAGCTTTCACATCATATTGCTGTTCTTTGCCTCTCTCCAGCTTGATAATGCCCATGAGTTGACTGTTGCCACATGTATCTAGTCACAGTAACAGCAATTTATTGAGCTGACTGGAGGAGCTTTAGCTTTTTAATCATTTAACTTAGCTAAGTATGATGGCAGTCTCATGCGTCACTGGAATAAAGCATCTGTCTCTGTATATTTTATATTAAATTGAGTGTGAGAGGAGACACGCTAATGCGGACTGGTGTTTGCCTGGGCCAGGATTCAGTCTGCCAAGTTAATGCTGATGTGCTTTCAAATAGCAGGACTCAGAGCTTTCGCCACATCAGTTATAATGACATGGCCTACATCTACCCCAGAGCGCCTGCACTAATGCATCGCAGGGGGAAACATGGGCCGTGTAACTCTGAGAACACTCTAATCAGACAAGCACACACATGCTGAACCTTATATCACATGCATCTGTAAATGTGACAGATGTACATGCATGTGGACATTACCTTACTGGCTTGGAGCGCATGATTTGGTGTGGTTTTTGGGGGTGGGAGGGGGTGGGGCATCGTTTAGTTTTGCCTGTGAACTGCCGCTGACATGGATTCATTGTCCACATCCATACCAACAACTCTACAGCTTTTCAAAATAATGTTGAGCATTATTGTTGCATGAATTGTAATTCTTAGTTTTTGATATTTTGATAGGAGCTTCTGTAGTATTCAAACAGCTGTTTGCAAGTAAGTAACATGCTCGCTGGGGAGAACACTCCTGTGTGACTGCTTTCAGTTTAATTCTGATGCACACATGACACAGTCAGAAGTGCCATGCTAGAAACATACCATTGCACTATTCAGCACCTTGATCAGTACTGTGCAGTAGATTCGTGCCATGTGTCGAGTATTGCCTGGAATGACACACTTGCATTTTACTGTATCAGTGTCATAACACCATTCTCTCACCCCACTATGCTCACACTGCTCCAGACTGCAGTCTACAAGCAGGCTGGCTGCCATCTGGCCTTTCCCAATTTCTCTTTCTAACTAATACAAACAGTCATAGACTACTATAGACTTTATAGATCACTCTCAATAAGTACTACTAGTAGAGCAGACTGTCCTGACATAGCATCGCATGGCATCGTTTGATTGACTTGTCTGTCCACTGAATACTCTTTTCTGGGATGTGGGAGTGTGTTTTTGTGTTGGGAATGTGTCCGCATTTGGATAGTATACACCAGACCTGGGTCAAATAGTATTTACAAAATCACATCTTTTGCTTGTTTTAGTTTGCTTGGAGTACCAAAATGATGGGTTTTACCACACTGAACCAATAGAGTTCATGTCCCATTTCACTTTTAGTGTTTACTACAAGATTATTTTATAGTTCTCTTGAAAATCTCAAACATTGTACATGCTCCAAGCTACAGTAAATGCATATCCACTACTGTATTGGCAAAAATATGACACCCTGCCATTTAAACCAAGATCAAAAACTGTTTTTAGTATTCAGCGATTACACTTGGTTTTAAAAGAGATTTTCAGGCTAAAACCCAAAAGGTATATTGTTGTTAATTCAACAAAAAGGTTTTCTTTCTTTGACTTTAAATTGACAGGTTAGTCACGTTTTAATAAGCTGTACACTGTAAGCAAGAAAACAACTATTCATATAGCACTGCAAACGTTCCAGAGTACTTCACAGTAAAAGCACTAGCATTCATTTCAGACAGGCAGGAGAGTAACAAACAAACAAAATACGGCTTATAAAGCATAAATAACATCACAAAAATCTGCAGTTAACTAAAGTGGAGGGAATATCATTGAGCTCTAAATTCTTATCCATCCTAGAAAATTGTCAGTAAAGTCAATTTCAGCTTTTTTTTTTGAAGAATTGTTGAAAGAACCTGTAATGGAAAAATATGACTGTGTTGGTATTTGCAAATACACTTTCACTTGTCTTAATGTAGTGCTCTGTTTATTGTCCTGTGGTAAAACCCATATTTGTCGCACTTAAGCAAGATAGATTCCCAGAATTTAATAAATACTACTTGGTTTGGCACATTCAGACACTTTTATTTTCAAGCAGCATGAATCTTGAGGAAACAGGTGCTGATTTCTTCCAGGAGATGTGAGAGTGAGAAGTCAGGTGGGATTTGAACCAGAACGAAGAAGCTCCCACCCGTACCTGTGCATCGACTTCCGAACTCTTCACAGTGAGTATGAACTGCAGCTTGTTACCTTGACTCTCTAGCCATTATCACACTCGGTATCAAATGTCACACATGTTTATTCTTCTTCAGCAAGATTAACAGATGTTTATTCACTGCTATTATACAGTATTACCTGTGATGATAAATGAGCAAGGTGTGTCCTAGTGTCAACCTTGTGAGAGTTTGGCTATCAAAACTTTAGTCTCACGTAGACCTTTTGAGAAAACAACAAACCTTTTCAAAGAATTAGTGCGTGTTGACATTTTGACCCAAACGTAATCCTACCTCATGCTGACAGGTTTCCAGACTACAGTCGCAGTTTATTCAGACATAATGACTTTGTGTGCATGTGTGAGAGACCACTGCCAAAGCATGACTGCTGTGTGATCCCAGACGAAGGCTTACGAGTGGGCGGCTGTGTCAGCAATGACTGTTTGTGCTGTATGTCGCTGTGGTGGTGTCAGATCACCACCGAGTTTGTGTGACCCAAATGATTCTCCGAGCCTAATGAGCTTTTGAAATAAATATGATCTAAAAGTTGACTTTTTCATATATGACATCTGTTGTAAACTATGTATGTGTGCTTGTGTCTGTGCAAGCAGCACGGCTGGGCTGTGGCTCCACGTCGGCCAGCTCCGCTCCTGAAAGGAGGGTCCACAGATTGCTCAGCTTCCAGAGGTACCTGCACTCATCCCGCCTGCTGCGAGGAGTCCCCCATCAGATCCCCCTTCACATTCTCGATGAAGACTACACTGGACAGGCCACAGTATGACCCCACCTTTTATATAATGACACCATAATAAGACATATAAAGGTCAAAGTGTTTGTTATATGCACAGTTAGGAAATGTGTTTTCCCTGTACAGTGAAATTCTTACTTTGCCATCAAAGTGGAGCGCCACTTATGAATGCCACAAAATACAAGTGAAATATAAAGTAGATGAGCAATAACACAAATCTAAATAGGCAGTAAAATCACAAATCTAAGGCACTTTAAAGATACATGATTTGCTTTCTTCACATCACTAATTCTGTGCTTCTCTTTTCCCTGTCTTGTAGTGCATGCTGGAAAAAGTTGGGACCTGGAATTTTGACATTTTCCTCTTTGACAGGTTGACAAATGGTATGTAAAATATAATCTGAAATACTGTTTAACAACAGAAGCACTGTAGTGCTGACCAGTGACGTGCGGTCAGGGGAGGCAGGTGAGGCAGAGCCTCCCCTGTCAATCTTGAAAAGAAACTTAAAGTTAACCATAAAATATAATAAATGTTAATATTTGTCGGCTGGTGTGTGTTGTAGGCCCTTTTGCCGTTCCAATCCGATGTTGAAGGAATTTTTTTCAATAAAGAATAGAAGAATTTCCATATGTCCCGTTCAAATACATGGAGGAGATACGCGATGAGGCAGCACTTTGCTGTGCCTCTCTGTGGATTGTGTAATCCTCACAAACTGTATGCGATGCAAATAGTGTGTCACTGTCCCTCTATATATAATCTTCTTCGTGCTTGTTTATATTTCCTTTACAATCCGCCTTATCAAAATGGAAGATTACATTTCCAAGCTGAGAAAATTCGCAAATCTGGACTTTCAATCAAAACATTTTTGACAGTCTGGACATTTTTGTCCAGAAGGATCTTCTTTATTGAAAACATTTGTTTTAATATTGGATTCGAACGGTAAAAGGGTTTGTAATACATACCAGCTGACAAATGGATTTCGTGTACAAGTAAAGGTAAGACCTTAAACTTTTATTATTTCTAGTTAGAAATAAGCTCGATTGGAATAAATTTTAACCTCAAATTAAATATGGGTCACGTTTGTGTGAAGAATGCTGATATGAGATATAAAACATAACGCAGTGTTTGTTAACAGACAATTTGTATTTATAAATCTGACTGTAAATGAGTCGGTGCCTCACCAGCTGTCAACCTCACCGCACGTCACTGGTGCTGACTAGGGAATCCAGAGTCAAATTAAGCTTTAGATTCTTTGTGTTACCAGTAATACCATGGCCAACACAGAGGATATACTTATTTAACTTAACCACTACATTTTATGTTGTAGAGAGAGAAAAAATACTATGCAATTTTGGGTCCATTCTATCTGTTTGTTGTTGCACAGCTTCAGTGGACTCTGACAAACTGTTCAACATTAAATGGAACATTTTGGTGACAGGCCTCAAAAAGCAACAACTTCTTCCACACTTTCTTTACATTGAACCACAAATTAGTAGGGCTGTAGGGAGAGCAGTAAACATAATACATACTGTATCGCTGCATCGAGCGTAGCCTCAGTAGATCAAAATGTGGCCACACAATATGTTCTGCCATAAGTAGATTCAGTCGAATCAGGTCAAGAGAAAGTAGACACACCAGTTAAATCAGTTAATTTTTTTTACAGTAACAATATCAGTGGTGCAGTTTTATACTTTTACTGAAAAGAGACCAGATGACTCACTCTGATCTGTCTTGTTCAGGAAACAGCCTGATCACCCTGACCTTCCACCTGCTCAACCAGTATGGCCTGGTAAAGCTCTTCCAGCTGGACATGATCAAACTTTGGAGGTTCCTGGTTATGGTCCAGGAGGACTACCACAGCGACAACCCTTATCACAATGCTGTCCATGCTGCAGATGTCACACAGGCCATGTACTGCTACCTGCGGGAGCCCATGGTGAGAAATGAAGACAAGAAAGTTGGGCTTTTTCGCATTAGAAATTATGTTGAACTCCTTTAGATGTTAGTGATCACAAGGCTATAACTTTTCTAAATTCAAAGGTTATTGTGGTCTTTTTTAGAATCTTTTCAAGCCAAGGCGTGTTGCTTCTAACAAACTATTAACCATTAAACCGTTAACTCATCCACTGAATAGTAATACATAAATAACATCAGCGTATCAAAGTCAGAAATTCCAGTATTGTGACAACACCAGTGTACAGTTTCCTGATCTGAAAGTACTTCACTGAAAGAGCATTTGCATTTTATTTATCAGTCATCAAAATCTTTGTGCCATTACTTTGTTGTGAGAGCAGCTTGCAAAGTCCTTGACCTCCTGTGACATTCTGCTGGGGCTACTAGCAGCTGCCACTCATGACCTGGACCATCCTGGGGTCAACCAGCCTTTCCTCGTTAAGACTGACCACTATCTGGCTACACTGTACAGGGTAGGACCACATAGAGCAACAACCCCACTTCGGCCTAATAGAACTTATCATTCAACTGTAAACATGCGTCTCTGTGCACAATGTCTCCTTCTGAACTTGTAGAATACCTCAGTTCTGGAAAACCATCACTGGAAGTCGGCAGTGGGCCTCCTCAGAGAGACTGGTCTGTTCTCCCATCTGCCTGCTGAGGACAGGTTAGTCTGACACTGAAATCTTGCCAAGGGCACCAAGAAATCTGTGCTGCACACTGTGTTAGATGGGTTATAAAGTGGCTTCAGAAAGTTTTCAGATCCCTTCATTTTTTCACACTATAATGTGTTGTAGATCTAATTTTAAATGGATAAAATTGCCATTTTCCACAATCATCACAGGCTCTCCCAGCTCTGCAGAGGACTTCTGATGCTCTGCTAGAGTGACTCTTGGGCTCTTGGTCACCTCTCTGGCCAGGGCCCTTCTTACCCTGTTACTCAGTTTGGACTGACAGCCAACTCTGGGAGGAGTCCTGGTGGTTCCATACTTTTTCTATTTCACTATTATTGAGGTCACTGTGCTCCTAGAAATACACAGAGCTTTAGAAATAGTTTTATACTCTTACCTTGGTCTGTGCTGTTTTATGGATGGATGTCATAGCCTGGTTTTTGTGCTGACATGCAGTGTGAATCATGGGACCTTACATACACCGATGTGTGTCTTTCTAAATGAGGTCAAATCGATTTAGTTTTGCTGCATTTCCACTATCGGAACTTAACAAGCGGTATACCATCACCAAGCATAGCCTCCAGGGTTGATGTGGACTCTTCTGCTTTGTTTTTCCACTGTTTTCGTTTTTGTTGTTTGGCAAAACGGCAGTTTTATCCATTTACAATTGAATCTACAACACAAAGTTGAAGAAGTGAAGGGGTCTGAATATTTTCCAAAACCACTGAATATGAGGAAATGAAGCTATTTCAATAACTTTTCTAATTAGATTTATAGACAGATGCCACAGTCTGCTTATATAACATTATTTAGTCAAATAAATGTACTTTCTGATCCCTCCAGTCTGAACATGGAGAGGGAGTTGGGCTCCTTAATCCTGGCCACAGACATCAGCAGACAGAATGAGTACCTATCCAGGTTTCGCACACACCTGGACCAGGACAACCTGTGCTTGAGCAATGCTAGTCACCGACACTTCATCCTGCAGGTCACTTACCTCCTATACAGTCGCCACTTCTACATCAGAGAAAACCTGTGGGTTCTTATTTTGGTTTTCTTCCCACCCCATGCAGATGGCTCTCAAATGTGCAGACATCTGTAACCCCTGCAGACCGTGGGAGCTGAGCAAACAGTGGAGTGAGAGAGTGACGGAGGAGTTCTTCCAACAAGGTTTATCTTCATTTCTACTTCTTCCTCTTACATCATTTGATGTAGTCTTTCAGTTATTCATGTTGAACTTTTAATTGGTGCCATCACAGTTCCTTCCTCTCTTTTTTCAGTATTTATTTCTATAATTCTGTAAGCCATAACATTGTTCATATAATAATCATATGTATCACTTTTCTTTATGCTCCTGTAGGAGACATTGAGAAGAAGCACAAACTTGAAGTCAGCCCACTATGTGACAGAGAAACAAACACAGTTGGTGACATTCAGATAGGTAAGCAGTGGTGTTGTGTATTTGTTGTGCTCACCTTTTACTTAGATGTTGTATTTAATATTTAGCTCCTAGTGTTCATTAGCCTTTTCTTCCCCATCAGGATTCATGACGTACGTGGCGGAGCCGCTGTTTGCTGAGTGGGCTCGTTTCTCTGACACTCGTCTGTCTCAGACCATGCTGGGCCACATGGGGCTGAACAAGGCCAGCTGGGGTGGCCTACAGCACGAACAAACTTCCAACTCCGAGGAGGCGGAACCCAGCATAGCTGGCAGTGATGCAGAAGGTGTTGCCGCTCAAAGAGACGGTGACACACCTACAGCCGCAGGAGGAACCAGCTCCAAAGAAATACCTCAG